TGTTTATCTTTCCTAGACATATTGCTTAGTCAACGGATGGCTTGATGGGTCAATAAAACGTTCCATTTATAGAAAACCTACCTACCTGGACAGGACAGTATCTCAATGACCGCAGTTTCTGCCCTGTTTCGTGCATAAGATCCTTAGTGAGCTAAGTGCCTCTTCAGTAGAATCCAACGAATATACACTGAAGACAGACACACTTGATGATGAAGAAGAAAGAAAGTTGACACAAACTCACTCTGGTTGATAACAATTATCCAGACAAGTTCATCAGGAGATATAAAGTAGTCAGTGGAACACCAAGACCCACTCACTCTACAACTCGCCCCTAAGAAAGACGTGTACATCAAGCTACCCTATATGGGTGGGGCATCATAGCAGCTTGATAACTAGACAAAGACTGAACGCTGCTGTTTAAAAGACGTTTTATGCAGCTAATATCATAATAATTGAGAATGTCAAGTTAATATATCCATCCATCCATCTAAGCCCAGTGAACATGCGAAAAATGATGTCACATCCCACTGTATTTACCGATTTGAATGTACGTATGGACGCACACACATACATAGGGAGGACTCATCGATCTCTGCAAATGGAATCCTCAGAACCCATCAATGGTGACAACAGACGAACACATAGTTAGCTCCTCTGTTGCGAAACATATTACAGAGGAGACAGGACATGAAATTGACGTTAACGCATCTTTTAAACCTATCTATAAAACGTGTTTGGATGAAAGCGTATCCTAAAGTTTGTAGAAGCCCTAGCTGGCAGTTAGAAGTTTAAACCACCTCTATGCATTCAAACCAGCAATTTGTCATCACACTATCTAAACCTACCTTCCTTGTTGGTAAACTTTGTTTTGATACCAAGCAGGGCAGATGTACTATTACCTCTGTTATTTAGTTTAGTGATTGATCTTCATTGTTATTCTGACCTTCAATATGTCGTCCTTTTAACTTGACCTAAGTAGTCAAGTCTATTTTCTCACCCACCTCTTAACTCTTTATTAATTTCATATATATGTACTCCTATGACAAGTCCGTGTGTGATGGATCAGATTGTTCGAAATGTGTGTTGCGCGCAAATATGCACATTACACACACGATTCAGACAGACAAATTACGTCTTCTTATTGCTGCTTTATCCAAATTCATAAAGGCAACACTAATTGTTTTTTGAAAATATCTTAATAAAGGTATGTCTATTGGGGCTACTGGAAAAATGATATGTTCAATGGCACGGGCACTTTAAAACTCGCCAGCGGAATAAAATACGAGGTGAGAATTAAATGTGTTGATAAACAAAATGCTTACTTACATACTGATGAACTTAAAAACAAATTAGGCGTATAACTCAAGGATGGACTAAACCACCAGATCGCCTGTGCATGGACGGTGTTCTATGGTAGACTAATCGCCAAACACGCACAAGATCCACGGTTGACTCCCATCTAAGACACACTCCTACGCCTCGGCTAGTTTACGAACTAGTATTATCGACTCGTTTATGCTAATGAGAGAAGGGCCAGTCAACAGATTGTTTATTAAGGAAATCAACATATATTTATCGATTTTTATGTAAATACATTATTATAGATTATTGTTATCAGACAAACACAGTCTTCTCATTGGTTGTTTCTCTTTGTGGCTGTTTCTTGAAGGTCAGATCATCTATCTGTCTGGTAATTGTATCCGCCTACGCAAGCAAAGGGTGCTGTGATTGGTTATTGAGTCAGTCAGTCTTTGTTCTTATTTTTCTCATGACCGATATTTGGGACATAAACATTGACGTAAATTACTGTCTACCAATTTTGGCTAGCGCAGACAGCTCTCACCACAATCGTTCCCCCGTCAAAGACTTGCAACTGAATTGCGTTCGGTCTTCTTGGTTCTAGGTGCTTTGTTCGTTTATCTTACTGCCTGGAATCTGGGTGCTCGCCGATGTTCACCTGTTTCCCTTTGTTTACCACTGCGATTGTGTCTGCGTGACCCCATCATCTCGAAGTGACCATATGTGGTCCTTCTCACTTGGAAACTGTTTGTCTGACCCTGTCGCACATTCGTCGGTATTTCGCCTCACACTTTCATATGCTGCTTTCTCCCTACCTCCCGGCAGATAGTTCTTCCCTTTGTAGATTACTTTGAAGCAGGAGGCGTTTGTTGTTGAGATGGAATGACCAGTAGTGGTGACGAGATGTTCGATTATTGCACTCCTTATGCAGCCAATACTTCCTTTCTGCAGCCATACTGGATAGTGTTCTTTGACCTTTTTTGACAGGATGCGCGTTGAACGACCGATGTACCTGGCTGGCTCCACAGCAACAGGTGAACTGATATATGCACATAGAAGTAGTGGTCAGGTGTGGGATCTTGTCCTTAGGGCTTCTGAAAATCAGCGGGTGACTGGAGAACACTACTCTCAATGTTGCCACAAAGAAAGTTCTTCTTAAAGAGGTGGAGATTCCCTTCCTAAGGACATCACTGAGTAGGTCACCTTTGAAGTTGAGGTTCATATAAAGTATCTGTTTTGGCAAGGATGGTGTCTCTTGCTTTTGGACTTTCTGTTTTAATGTTTTTGTCTACGAATCTTGATGGATAACCGTTTTGTTTGAAGGTTTCTTTCAGGAAATGTAGTTCTTCTTGCTCCAGGGTATCAGAGCTGTAGATGCGTCGTCAGACACGAGTGACAAGGGATCTAATTAGGTTTCTTTTTCGACTGATTGGTACCCATATGTAGAAGCTTGTCAGTTGGCCGTTCCATAAAAGGTCTGTCTTGTCTATTTTGATAGCCCAAACTTCAGAAACACAGATATGTAATGAATTGGGCAGGTTGCTTTTAGCCTTGTAGATAACTTCAAAGGAAGCGGTTGTCGAGAAAAACGGTGTCGAGGATCAACCGGATATCTCACTATTAGCCCCAGTTCCACCTGTTCGTATTCACGAGGGATAGTATTCTTACACCTTCTTGGACAAAATGACCTATCAAACGCACACAGAGTTGATGGTTAGCTGATGATTTTTTCCCTTCAGGTTATTGAACATACGTGGTCACACAAGAAAACACTATTCTCAAGGATGCTGAGGCGAATATCCTTTTCGAGTACTATGCGACCCTTCTTTTAAGGATACTGGCAGCTAAGTCATCTACGAATTCAAGTTTCATATGTAGCATTTTTTGGGTACATAAAACAAATTTACGCTTTTAGGTTTTAACTCTTCGTTCTTATCTCTAAAGTGTGGAGGTAATCCATTTCTCACTGGGAATTGTTCTAAGAAGATGTAAGTCTTCCTCTAAAACATCTGCCCTACATATTTGCCGAATGCAAATGGCGAATGATAGAATCAGTTTTCGTTTCCGGCTAAAGAATGTCAGGAGAAGTCGTCCACTTCATTACTTACTGAGGCTGGTGTCCTCCCTGAAGGCGATGTCTTTTCTCCTTTTCCGTTTTCTTTCTTCTTGCATGACTTCTTGCCTCACTCTGATGATGAAATGAACTTTGTTAAGTATGTCGATGATCTAACTATTTCAATCTCTGTTAACTCCCAGCCAGCTAGACTGTACTAAGATGAACAGCTTTCTATCAGAAGTTAGCAAATGGTCTCCATCTAACAGCCTTAAATTAAACCCTTCCAAATGTCAGACTGTCAATTTCAGTTTCCTATGTAAACGAAAGGTAAATGAAGCCGTTGGTTCCTATGACCCTTGCAAAATCGATGATGCTGATATAGAAATCAAGTCTGACGTTAAGTATCTTGGATTAATTCTCTCTTCTGACCTACCTATCATCATGGTCTTTCCATGTCTTAGCGATTTCTAAAAGAATATTTCGTCTGACATTTTACATAAGGAAGTTAAGGCACTCAGGTATAACCCAACCACTTCTCCTCCTCTTACAGTTTGTCAACTCGTCCGCATCTTACCTATTCTTCTTTACTGTTCACCCCTGCTTATTCTCTCCTGGATTGCTTAAAAAAGACTATGTCATACTTCGTAGAACTCTGAAAACTATGGGTCAGTAGGGCGAGTGGTATCCTATTGGGCCATATCGTTGACATTGTCATTCATAGGCACTTGATGTCATGTAACAAATTCGCTAAAGGAATTTTGTCAGACTGCGAGCATCCACCGCAACACCCGCAGCTCCAACCTTGTGTCTCCTCCTCAGGTAAAAAAAGAAGTCTTTTCGGAAGATTTTATGCACGTACATCTAAGTATAAAAATTCCACTATACCACATTTGGTGGCAGGTACTTTATGTGATGAAAATAGTGTTAGGCATGAACTAACTAACTAACTAACGTTCTTTGCACTACTAAATAAGCCATTTCCTCCACCCTTACAACATCCTCCTTTATTGTTATTGTACTTCTTATATTTATAATCCTCTCAATTTTCTTTTGTTTTGTTTATTTTCTATCAAAGTGTGAACATCATTTAAGCTGTGTTATAACTGTGTTAATTTTGTATTTCCCCTCACCATGCTGCTATATCAACAGAACATTAGATTCAATGCCTCTACAATAACATGCTAAAATTTCCAAACTGAATCGACAATACTGTTTGAAACAAACTCACTGTTACTGTTATTATTATTATTATATTTAATATTCTCAGTTTGTGCTTCGAATATTTTTGACTTTGTGTTATCGTAAATGTGGACAAATTCTGCCTGGTTAATTTTGTTTTAATTTTTAATTTTATTTATATTTTGAGGAGTTAATCAGATGTTAGGTGTTGTGACAAATGCTGAGAATTGCATTCTGAATTATAAGTAGTGCTGTTTTTGAAATAAAGCAGATTATTAGTAGTATTATTATTATAAACTTTAGAAAAGTATTTTAAGATTTTCTACATGATTATTATTGATTCACACAGGGTGAATTTGTCAATGGAAAGCCTAATGGACACGGGAAACTAACACGCCAGACAATTCTGCTACCCAGTTATGAAGGATTATGGAAGGATGGTTGGCCTTGTCAAACTGCCCAGTGCATGCGATTATCTATTGAAGCTGATAAAGACACTCCAAGCAAAATTCATGCAAATCTGCTTGCATATCAGAATGCACCTGTCAGAGAAGAAGAAGAAGAGAACTACAAGTTGGCTACACTGTCAAAGATAGAAATTTCCACGGAGGAATTGAAGACAAACTGCAGTGTTGATATTTGTGTATACAGTGAAAATCGTCGAATTCTTATTGAAGGTAAACTAATTTATTCAAGAAAAAAAATGAGTCGAACAATTTGACCGTGTATCTCCAAACAGAATTCCACGTTGATATGAAAGTATAAAACTTGGCCAGGCACTGTGGTGTGCGTGGTAGAGTATAACTACTCCATTATGGATAAGATTTTCTATTTTGATAAACTGTCACTCACAGTGTGTGTAGTGTTATACAGTAAGTAATATTAACTGATGCGACCACACGCTTCGAGCACGATTTATTATTGACACTCATAATCATCATATCAAGTCACTCACGCACTCACAAAACTTTCGTCTTCCTTCATTTATATACATGAGTGGAATTGATGATTAGACATTTGAATAAAAATCAAATAAAATCATTGGGAAGATCGGAAAAGGCCAGAAGCGAAATCGAAAAATAATTGTGAAACTAGTAATGATAACATAAATAAGGGAGAATATAAGTCATCCACTGTTATACCATATAAGGAGGGCGGCATTTAAACCTACAAACTCACTCAGGTAGGACAAAAGACCTTGCAATGACTGCGAGTTAGGTCAACTACGTAGGTGAAACAGACTAGTAGATCGGGGGTAATCAGATTATGGGAACACAAGAATTTAGCTGAGATTAGAATAGTTGACCCCGAGAAGATAAGTAATTTAGAAAAAAGCTCAGCACTACATTGCACTGCATGCATGCATTAACACACAACCACACAATAGCATGGTGGGAGAGGGTTAAAATTCTAAAAAGTAATCTATGTAGGTGGAGAGAGAGAGGTTGATTACTGAATCCTGACTGGTTCATCGAGTCTACACCCAACACAACACATGCAACAGAAATGACTCAATGCAAATACCAGAGATATGCATGGAAGATATTATTACCACCAGTCAGTCACCAGTCAGTCAGTGAAATCAGAGGAGGATAATAAATAATCTTCAATTGTAATTGATCAATAATACCCTTTCTATTATTATTTCTGAATGTACATTATCCCATATTACTGATTTGTATTCAAATGTCTAATCATCATGAATTCCACTCATGTATATAAATGAAGGAAGACGAAAGTTGTGTGAGTGAGTGAGTGACTTGATATGATGATTATGAGTGGCAATAATAAATTGTGCTCGAAGCGTGTGGTCGCATCAGTTAATATTACTTACTGTATAACACTACACACAGTGTGTGACAGTTTATCAAAACAGAAAATCTTATCCATAATGGAGTAGTTATACTCTACCACCACTACAGTGCCTGCCCAAGTTTTATACTTATATCAAATAATGTCAGAACTAACCATTTTCCCTTCATTGTCTAATATTAAATTATCTAATCCATTTTTGTTTTAGTTCATAGGAGTTTGTTAGTCTTGATGATTTTGAGTGACTTTTAAGGCGATTTAATACTAATAAAGTGAAAACGGTAGTTGAACTTGTTATCTGGCTCAGATGTGTTCACACTCTATCCTTATTTTCAATTCTTCACCTCTTTTGTGCTTTATTTTTAAAACTGGGTTTTGGAGACATTATACAGTTGTGTTTCTATGCTGTTTCTCATCTAAAATTTCAATTTGATAACACAAGTATTACTTAGTATTTGCGAACCAGCATACTTTATGTGTACCGAATAACTAAATAAAATTACTGATGAAGTACCTAGACTAGCTGGCCGCTTCAAATTGCATCTACCAATTCAACAACTGCAACTGTGCTTGTGGTGGAGCGAGTTATATTGGCCGTTCCTTGCTCTAGGGACTTGATTTTTCGTGGTCGCTCGCTCGCTGGAGAACATCTCCCACTATGGCTGAGTAAAGGTGTAGTGAAAACCACCATCAACAGTTCGATATTGGACCATCTGGTACAAACCGGCTGGCCACAGAGACAGACAGCCAAGCAGCCAGCGTGGAAGAATCCTTCTCTATCATCATCTACTGGGTGCCTAATAAATTGACAAAATCATCATCGAAGCACCCACTGCATGCTCTAAACAGCAGAGGCTATTGCAATTCGCCTCAAACAACCAGTGAGTGCTATGTGTGTGGAGAAGAAGCAAGTCCAGCCAGCTAGCCACTACTACTGCCCTGGCTGACTGGCCTTCAGTAGAGACTGTAAATTCATGAATTTGTAATGTTATCTTTCCCAATTTCGCTGTCTGAAATTCAGTGTGTATTGTTATGTTGATGCTATTGAACTGTAATCCATTGGTATTATTATTATTATTGATTCGATGTTATTTAAACAGCAACATTCATGTTGTTGTTCATAACACTAATTCATTCATTCCTTCATTCACTATAATGGATGGATATATAACTGTAGAGCCTGATGATGATGATGATGATGAAGGGGTTATCGAAAAGAGTATTTATTTATTCTTTGTTCAGTATCCATCCATTCTTTTGAATACAAAAATATATTTAAAATTTCAGAAAGTAATCGTCAACTTGCTCTATGGATGGGGAGAATTTGCAAAGAGAAGCTACAATGTCGCGTCCCAGTCAAACTACAGATTCCAGTGTCAACTCCATTATTATCATCCATGGAAAGGAATAGTACCTACACGATAGAGACACCTTTGTAAGCGATTTATTATTTTTTTATTTTATTTCTTCTAATAGTTTATTCTCATAGTTACAGAATGCATACATATGCATGAATGTCTGAAATTATTATTATTTTATTATTTTGAAGGCTTACTTTTGTTGAAAGTATTCAGAAGGTGGTTGATTATCATCCTAGTTGTAAAGGTGTGTACCACTTCGACATGAATATGACAACAAATGGTTGGTGCTTTCACTTCGCTTATTGGTTGATTGGTTACAGGATTTCATCATGAGCTGACATTGGTTAGAGAACCATTGGAAAACCCGCCACAAGGAGTACTGGACAGCTGTTTCGTCAGTCTAGTTTGGGACCATCTATTCAGCAGTACGCACCCACCCGACTGCGGTCCGAACCCAGGACCACGTTCTGGTTACAAGGCCGCCGAGCGAGCTCGTAGACCATTAAGCCACTGGGACCCAATCCAACGGCCCATGAATTCTAACTTCTGCTAATTCACGACATAGCGCGACCATTTCGAAATGTCTTCTTCGATGAGTGAGTTACTGCCTCATCTTCAACCTGCTGAACCCTACTGGTCACGGCTTCCCACTAGAAACCCAGGTGACTGTCTGAATAGGGCTAGTCACTATTGAGCATCAGATTAATTTTCAAGCATTGGTTTTGCAGGGATTTTGTTTGATTGGATGGAGGGTTTAATCATGAGCTGACATGGGTTAGAGAACCACTGGAGTACTGGACAGCTGTTTCGTCCTGGATTAGGACTCTTCATCAGTACTTTTTGTTAAACACTTTAAACAGAATGTACTATTCAACAGAATTTTAGTGATTACGTCCGACTACGAGTTCATGGTCGTACATTACTGAATATGGAAATATACGTATATATGTGGTATACAATGGTGTCTGTGTGCCTGTATGTGAGTGGGTGGGTAAACAGTTGTAAAACATTTCTTAACGTCTTCATAAGAAGATACAGACAGTCGGGAATTTAGATCAAGTATGATTAACTAGTGATACATATCCATTTTTTAAATTTCCTATGCATCACACCTTCATTTCTGTTCAAACGGTTAGTATCTAGAATTTTATGATTAAACGTATATTCTCAAAATTATGGTGTTTATGATTAGAGCTTAGCTGTTTTGTACTATTTCTGTCACTCTGATTGTGTTTCTTTGTCATCCTTTCCACGTCTTCCATTTACCTACACAATGCTGAATCCTTTGCTTTCTTCAATGTCTTGGTGAGGAACTTAGTAATATTAAATGGATGCTAAGTAAAAATGGTTATCCAGAAAAGTTTATTGATAAGAATATGAATCTAAAATGAAAGCAGATCAAGGTACACCAACAGTTCTGAGGTAAAGGAAGGCCGTATTCTTACAAATGCAGTACCTTGGAGACAACATCAGCGAGATACTCACACAGCGCCTTAGAAATGCAGTTAAACGAAGAGCATTCAGTGCTGCTGTCGAGTTACGCTATGTCTTCAAAACCACTCCTCTTTTGCGTTCCTTCGGGAGTAAAAGACAAACTGCATAATTTCGCCTCTTCCATGTGTATCTACCAGTTTAACTGCTCCTGTCGAGTGAGCCAGTTACTCGCATGGGCCGTACAGTTAGGCATGTTTCTCGTCGAATTTCCCAACATCAACCTGCACAGTGGTTGGCTAGGTGAAGGACTAACAAAATCTATCTGTTTGCTGCGCCATTCTATCTCACTCATCTTTTGGATACAGAACACAAGATTGACGTTAATGATGCTTTCATGGTCATTTATTTTTATTTTGATTACAGCTTGATGCCACATCGTATTTTCAGTACAAGTATGGCATTTTCAGCATGGATATCGGTAGCCCGAATTTTGCAGGCCGACCATAGATATCGGGTGTGCGTCGGTAGGGGTTCGGACCCCGAACCATGTGCATGGACGGCGAGAGTCCTAACCACTGTCATTTACCGCATACCTACAAATCACAATTTCGCCTTAAGAGTTCGACTACTAAATACTGCTAAGGCTGGCTGGCTGTTGGAATCCATATCAACAAGCCTAATTTGCACGTCCAAAAGAAGTTGGTTAGTTCAGACATTATCCTTACCCCACTGGCCATCGAGGTTTGAATGATCCTCAGATTTTTGTGTAATTTTTCTAATTTTATTTGATATTCTATTTCCTACTATATCTTTATTATCATTATTATTATAATTTAAGCATCTTTAATGAACTGTGGTGATTCCATTGTGATCTTACTTTTCACAAATCGATATTATTTAAAAAGCACACACTGATATTGTTATTGACTACTAATCTAGAATATTCTGTGTATATAAACATGCATATATGAATATATAATTGTAGAGCGAGAAGAGGAGGAGGAATTTATCGAAAAGGGGGATATTCTTTGTTGCCTCAATTAAATTTTGTGTTTTATAGATAGATGTCTAAATGAATATTTTTGCGATATATTCCATGATAATCGCATTAAAATTTGTTTTCGCATTTATTTTTTGAAAAAAAGCGGGTTCTCAGTTTGCTTTCACTTCGCTTATTGGTTGATTGGTTACAGGATTTCATCATGAGCTGATATTGGTTAGAGAACCATTGGAAAACCCGCCACAAGGAGTACTGGACAGCTGTTTCGTCAGTCTAGTTTGGGACCGGCTATTCAGCAGTACGCACCCACCCGACTGCGGTTCGAACCCAGGACCACGTTCTGGTTACAAGGCCAGCGAGCGAGCTCGTAGACCATTAAGCCACTCACTGGGACCCGATCCAATGGCCAGCCAGTCCATGAATTCTAACTCCTGCCAAATTTCTGCAAATTTCGTCTTCCTTTCTTTAATGAAATTTATCAAGGGAACCAAATGTAATAAGCGTGTAGTCCTTTGTAGCAGAGAACCAGATGTCTGATCGAAATTTGATATAATAGGGTGATGGGTCGGTCGGTCGGTTGGTTTTCGACATAGAACTTTGCACATATTTGTGCGGCAGTTCAAGTCGCCACACTCCATGTAGCACACAAAGCAAGAGAAGACTGTAGGAGAAATGCATAATATAGACAGTAAACAGAGGTGTGAGACAAAGGAATAGTAATAACGAAGAACAAAACAGTTTAATTGGAAACCATAGGTCACAAGGAGTGGATGCATCTGCTCCACTGAGAACGATTTCCAGACATGTTACCAATTGTTTCCAATCATTGGTTTCTACCGTCCCGAGGACCCCAACCAGAAAGTCTACATCTTCCTACGTGGCTTAAACTAACTGTTGTGGATTTCATTGACTGGTGCCATGTTTTCGTTTGACCGCCGCTAGGTCTATCTTTTCCAGCCTGACCCTATATCAGCTAACATTGCCCATTGTCGAGGAAGGCGATGACTAGTTATACGTAGCACATGTCCTAACCATCTCAGTCGATGGGGGGGGGGAAGAAACTTCTGAAATGTTGAATGGTCAAATCCATTGATTGCTTCTCATATTGTTCTAATTCAGTTGAAATGAAAAATAGATAGAAGAGAACAAGAAGAAGTTCAGCAAAGATGGCGATCTTTTTGGGCGATTTCATTCTCAAAAGCAGCTGTACGTACAATCGCATTTATATACAACATTAGTTTACATGGATACAATTATTATTTGTTTAATTAATTCCACATAGTAACGAAGGTGATAATTATTTTCCAACTTGATATGAAAGTTTGAAGGTACGAATATAGAAGATTACAAGGGGCTTAGAGACAAGATTCCATAGGATTAGAAAAGACAGTTACAACGTATGCAAAATTAATATTTGATAACTGGAGAAATAATTTTTTGAAAGGCGAATAAAAGGTGACCATTATTTTCAACTTGATATGAATTACAAGAGGCTTAGAGATAAAAGTTACGCAGGGATAGAACGAATTACAGGTGTGAACAAAATGAGCATGGAAACAAATTGAAATCAAAATTTTCCAACTTGAAATGTAAGTTAGGAGTTGTGTGTCAATATAGATTACAAGAGGCATAGAAACAAAAAATTACACAGGATTATAGTATAATTGTAAAATAGTTACTCTGAATGGATTACAAGTGTGAATCAGTTGGAGCATGGAAACAAACTTAAAATAACTGATTTTATAACTGAAAACAGAAATGGGATGAATTGAATGAAGACAAAGAGAGAAAATTACACACACACAGAAAACAAAACAACAAAATAAAACTGAAGGATAAGGGAACATACCGAACTAGGTGCATGGTAGTTGTAAAGGCTGGACTAGTTTCTTTTGAACACATAGCTCCGGCTTTTCGATGCATATATGGCGAGAGCTTCCGCCAACTAATCTATATAATTGCGATTGTACAGCTGCTTTTGAGAATGAAATCGCCGAAAAGATCGCTATGTTTGCTGAACTTCTTGTTCTTTTCAATGATCTAATGTCCCGATGGGTATTTTCCACGATTTGAAGACATGAAAATTGTTCTTTATTGTTATATGATAGCCAGCGTTTGTTATTTGTTCAAATTTAATTGTTGCTATGTAGCTCATGAATGCTTGTTGCTTCCGCCCAGTGTTCCACAATGTTGTAAACTTTACTAGGAAATTCGCAATGAACTCTTTAATTCATTTCCCCACAATTCTAGACTGAAAAAGCTGTCCAGTGCTGCTGCTGCCTGGTTTCCAACGAATGTTCTGTCTAATTGAGATTGCTTCCGTGACAAAAATCTACACTGAAATTTAATTTGCCTATTACGTGACATATAGACAAATCGACGGTGAGGCGATGGGCTCACCACTAGGACCACCATTCTAGCCGACATTTTCCTTGCGAAACTAGAAAATAATGGGCCTTGGAAGGATGTTATTAATGAACTCGAATTCTATTGTCGGTACATACATGGATGATACATTTTTGATTATGAAAAATGAGGAGTAGGAAGCAAAGAACATCCTGGATAAATTTAACGAGGTTCATCCTGCAATAAATTTTACTATTGAGAAGCTAAAAGACTCCAGTATTTCATTTCTAGACTACGTCCTTATGACCAGAAAAGAGGATGGCGCAATAAGAAGAGGAAGTGTATATAGAAAAGCAACATCAACTGACTGTCAGTATACTCATTTTCTCAGCTTCGTGCCCTTGAAATACAAACGCAATCTGATAAAGTGCTTGGTCCACCACAGAGCAAGAGCAATCTGCTCGGATGAATGTCTTGATGAGGAACTTAATAATATTAAACGGTTGATGAGTGAAAATGGTTATCCAGAAAAGTTTATTGATAAGAATATGAATCTAAAATCAAAGCAGCTCAAGGAACACCAACAGTTCCGAAGCAAAGGAAGGCCTTATTCTTACAAATGCAGTTCTTTGGAGACAACATCAGCGAGATACTAACACAGCTGTGCCTTAGAAATGAGGCAGTAAAACGAAGAGCAATCAGTGCAGCTGCCGAATTACGTTGTGTCTTCAAAACCACTTCTCTTTCGCCTTCGTTGGGGGTAAAAGAATAACTGCCTAATTTCGCCTCTTTCATTTGTGTGTATCTACCAATTTAACTACTCCTGCTGTGGAGTGAGCCAGTTACTTGCATAGGCGTGTTTCTCGTCGAATCGCTGACCATCACCCAGCACAGTGGTTGGTCGGTTAAGCAAAGGACAAACAAAATCTATTCTCAGTGCTATTCTATCTCACTCATCATCTTGTGGATACAGAACACAAGACCGATTGATATTAACAAGGCGACTTTCAGGGTCATTTACCGCATATCAACAAATCTCAAATCCGCCTTAACAGTTCGACTACTAAATATTGCTGAGGCTGGCTGGCTGGCCGTTGGAATCCATATTGACAATCCTAATTTATGCATCCAAAAGAAGTTGGTTAGTTCAGACATTATCATCCCTACCCGCTTGGCCATCTAAGTTTGCATGATCCTAAATATTTGTGGAATTTTCCTAATTTTAGTTGATATTCTACTTGCTACTATGTCTTTATTGTAATTACTATTATTATTATTTTTGATTACATCTTGATGCCACACCGTATTTTCAGTACAAGTATGAAATTTTCAGCATGGATATCGGTAGCCCAAATTTCGCAGGCCGACCATAGATATCGGGTGTGCGTCGGCAGGGGATAGAACCCCGGACCATGTGCATGGTCGGCGAGAGTCCTAACCACTGTGCCACTGACGCACAATTATAATTTAAGCATCTTTAATGAACTGTGGTAATTCCATTGTGATCTTACTTTACAAATCGATATTACTATTTAAAAAGCACACACTAATATTGTTATTGACTACTAATCTAGAATATTCTATGTATATAAACATGCATATATAGATATAATTGTAGAGCGAGAAGAGGAGGAATTTATCGAAAAGGGGGATATTCTTTGCTGGCTCAATTATTTTTGTGTTTTATAGATAGATGTCTGAATGAATATTTTTGCTATATTACATGATAATCGCATTTAAATTTTTTTCCCATTTATTTTTTGAAAAAAAGTGGATTCTCAGTTTGTCCAGTTGGTTCAGTTGCATTAGTTTCTTGTATCAATGAAGAAAAGGTTGATAGCGAAGACGTTTTATCATCATCATCATCATCGAAGCCTACAGCTGATACTGACAATCGTGTTAGTGATAACCTTCATTTAGTAGACGAGGAGATGAAGCTGAAAGTCAAGGATATTGTCCCTGAAGGCGATACTCTGGTGACTGGTTAGTTTCGAATTTTTTAATCATGTGTACTTGTGCTTTGTTCTTTGTCTGTGTACTGTGCAATAAAAGTTGCTTTTCAGCAAACTATTACTACTACTACTACTACCGTAACGACAGAAGACAAGGGCCAGTCAACAGATCGCCTTTATTTAGGAAATCAACACATATATTTATCGATTTTCATGTACATTATTATAGATTATTGTTAGCAGACAAACACAGTCTTCTGATTGGTTGTTTCTCTTTGTGACTGTTTCTTGAAGGTCAGATCATCTATCTATCTGCTAATTGTATCCGCCTACGCGGAGAAAGTGTTCTGTGATTGGTTGTTGAGTCAGTCAGTCTTTGTTCTTGTTTTCACATGACCAATATTCGGGACATAAAAACATTGACGTACGAATATAGATTACAAGGGGCTTAGAGACAAGATTGCATAGGATTAGAAAACAGTTACAACGTATGCAAAATTAATATTTGATAACTGGAGAAATAATTTTTTGAAAGGCGAATAAAAGGTGACCATTATTTTCAACTTGATATGAATTACAAGAAGGCTTAGAGACAAAAGTTACGCAGGGATAGAACGAATTACAGGTGTGGACAAAACTCTAAGAGTGATATTCTCTAGCCGCCCACTACTTCGGAGCAACGGAAAGGACAGACTTCCGCATATGACCACTTCAATGTGCATATATCAGTTCACCTGCTCTTGCGGAGCTAGGTACATAGGTCGTTCTATGCGGGTCTTATCAAAACGTGTTAGAGAACATCATCCAGCATGGCTGCAAAGAGGAGGCACTGGTTCAATCAGAAGCGCCATAACTGAACACCTCGTCAATACCTGTCACAGAATCTCAACTGACTCATCATTCAGAGTCATTTACAAAGTAAACAAAAATCTACCAAAGGCAGTCAGTGTGTTTCCGACTTCTTTGTACTGCGGAAGCTCTCGCCATATGCATCGAAAAGCCGGAGCTATGTGTTCAAAAGAAACTAGTCCAGCCTTTACAACTACCGTGGACCTAGTTCGGTATGTTCCCTTAGCCTTCAGTTTTTTGTTTTGTTTTGTTCTCTGTGTGTGTAATTTTCTCTCTTTGTCTTCATTCAATTCATCCCATTTCTGTTTTCAGTTATAAAATCCGTTATTTTAAGTTTGTTTCCATGCTCCTCCTGATCACACTTGTAATCCGTTTAGAATAACCATTTTACAATTATATTCTAATCCTGTGTAATTTTTTGTTTCTATGCCTCTTGTAATCTATATTCACACACCTCCTAACTTACATTTCAAGTTGAAAATTTTGATTTCAATTTGTTTCCATGCTCATTTTGTTCACACCTGTAATTCGTTCTATCCCTGCGTAACTTTTGTCTCTAAGCCTCTTGTAATTCATATCAAGTTGAAAATAATGGTCACCTTTTATTCGCCTTTCAAAAAATTATTTCTCCAGTTATCAAATATTAATTTTGCATACGTTGTAACTGTTTTTTCTAATCCTATGCAATCTTGTCTCTAAGCCCCTTGTAATCTTCTATATTCGTACCTTCAAACTTTCATATCAAGTTGGAAAATAATTATCTCCTTCGTTACTATGTGGAATTAATTAAACAAATAATAATTGTATCCATGTAAACTAATGTTGTATATAAATGCGATTGTACAGCTGCTTTTGAGAATGAAATCGCCCAGAAAAGATCGCCATCTTTGCTGAACTTCTTGTTCTTCTCAGTCTAATTCCGAAACACAATACTACCACCCACCTACGCAGTTGACTCAGTAAAGTGCAACAATCTAGTGTGACTGATCTTATACAGGCGATATTTGCTGTCAATCATAAAAAATGAGTAACCTGCGAAATGATATGCTTTAGGCGTTACCAGTACTGGTCGGTATCTTTTAATGAAATCGAACGGCTAGATATAAAAAAAATTATTAATTAATTCAGTACAAAAATGAAACAATCAGTGTTAGTATATGGATTTTAGTTGAAATGGCGTATTCACTTGAAAGATATTAAAGGTAGGCTAACAGTTTTTAATCGGAGAATAAAAAGAATGTATAAAACGTTTGTGTGTGATTGGTTGCAAATTTATCAAGAGATAAAAAAATCTACATCAAAAAAGTAACAACAGAAGACAAGGGCCAGTCAACAGATCATTTATTTACGAAATCAACAGATATTAATCGATTTTCATGAACATATATTATTATCGATTATTGTTAGCAGACAAACACTGTCTTCTGATTGGTGGTTGTTTCTCACAGGAAGTTAGTTAATCTTTCATCTCTTTGTGACTGTTTCTTCAAGGTCAGATCATCTATCTATCTGCTAATTGTATCCGCCTACGCAATGAAAGTCTGCTGTGATTGGTTGTTGAATCAGTCAATCTTTGTTCTTGTTTTCTCATGACCAGTAATATTTGGGACATAAACAACATTGACGTAAATTACTGTCTACCAATTTACGGCTAGCTAGCAGACAGCTCTCTCAGCACACTACTACTAGTGATGAGCGCGTAAATAACGAAGGAGTCGATGTATTTCACACACATATCATGAATATAGACGAGAATTAGAGGTGACGCAGCGAAGGACCACTTCTAAGTAGATTTTATAGTCACCCGTTTTTCTGTCACTAGTGCAACCCCTGTAGAATAACTAGATCCTAAGCATAAAATTTCTGTTGATGATTCACTGCACACACACACATGAAATGTTAATCCATAGTTGTTAAAATTAAAAAAATCTATGCTGATAATGTCACTGGAATTTTCGGATGTTAACCCTTGCAAAAATATTCAGAAGTTGGAAGGTGCTAGTTAATTTTTTACAGGTTTTTTAGACATGAAAGATTAAAGTGACGAAAGCAAAGTAAAACTAAGGAAATTATTGAGATTATTCCTTTGGATTTCGAGTGGAATACTAGGGGTTAAGCAGTACATCATCCTGACCTTTGAGATCCTGTTCAGCTGGCGAAGCTTTCATCGCCATGAAATAGACAAAATTTATCAACCGATAAGAAGGAAACCTCACACACACAAAAGGTCAAAGTTCAAGTCAAAGAAACAATACCAGTTCCAATATCGATACAAGTAGCCTCCTAGAAGGTGTGAAAACACACAAAAACAACCAAAGAATCACGTCCAAGGTCACCCACCGACCAGGAGAGATGATTAATAAACTCACTCGTGGAGAAATCTAAAAGCTCACTTGAATTCAAATTGAAGTATGCGCTGAAGGAAGATGTCGCCTAGTGGTGGGGCGATGAAAGCTCAGAGAGAGAGCGCAACCACATCAAAAAACACAGTAGATACACAACAAACCCAAGGGGTGACGGTCACAATGTATATCACAAATTGCAAAGTCAGAACAGATTAGCCACTGAATGCCGTCCCAGTGTTCACATGTTTAACGGGGTCAATCTTTGATCTGAAGGTCTCACCCAGGTGGTTACTGCTAAAGAGTCCAAAACTGAGGCAAAACGGTTGTCTAGTTTTCAATGGTTTTCTAAATGGATTAATTTCGTGATTACATTACGAAATTCACCACGAATCCCTGCAAATTAACAACTCAAAATTTAGCAAATATCATAAGGTGGTGAACTCGAGGTTGAAAACTGGGAGGATATCCCAATTGTACAGAATGTAGTTCCAAAACGGACCATACTCAGTTCCGTAGAATCCAAATATTCTTACTAATAACAATGGATCTTAATAAATCCTATCCAACTATGCATGAATGAAGTTGTCTAGAGAAGAGCCAATCATTATTGTCATGTAGAACTTCATTTAGTCCATTGAAACGATATTCCTGACGAGAAAATACCTTCCGGAAATCCAGACACTACTTGCTGGTTACATGGCATACAGGATTGATGTTAACAAGACGGCTTTCAGGGTCATTTAACGCATCCACAACAAATCTCAATTTCGCCTTAGTTCGACTATAAATATTGCTGAGGCTGGCTGGCTGGCCGTTGGGATCCATATTAACAAGCCTAATTTGTGCATCCAAAAGAGGAAGTTAGTTCAGACATTATCCTTACCCGCTTGGCCATCTAGGTTTGAATGATCGATCCTGAATTTTTGTGGAATTTTCCTAATTTTAGTTGATATTCTATTTGCTACTATATCTTTATTATTATTTTTTTTTTTTTTTGATTAAAGCTTGATGCCACACCGTATTTTCAGTACAAGTAGATTTCCATGGATATCGATAGCCCGAATTTCGCAGGCCCTGACCATAGATATCGGGTGTGCGTCGGCAGGGAATCGAACCCCGGACCATGTGCATCGTCGGCAAGAGTCCTAACCACTGTGCCACCGACGCACAATTATAATTTAAGCATCTTTAATGAACTGTCGGTAATTCCATTGTGATCTTACTTTACAAATCGATATTATTTAAAACAAAACACTAATATTGTTATTGACTACTAATCTAGAATATTCTATGTATATAAACATGCATATATTGATATAATTGTAGAGCGAGAAGAGGAGGAGGAATTTATCGAAAAGGGGGATATTCTTTGCTGGCTCAATTATTTTGTTTTGTGTTTTATAATATAAGTCTGTTTTGCTATTTATTTTGTTTAGAGAATCAACATTTACTCAATGAAGTTTTCGTCTACAGACAAGCGACTAATCGTGGCTTCGTCTCATTTTCTATCACAAAATCTACAATGAATGCCGAGAGTCCTCCTAGTTATCTAAGTCAAATGGAACAAGAGTTGTGTAGTAGTAGTGGGACTGTTAAAGTGGGGCTAGACGTCACCACTCAAAATGACTGTATTGATCTGTCAGTTATCGAAAAATCAATTCTACTGATTGAGGAGTTTGCGAATTCACCAACAAGCGGAGGTAGGCATAAATACACTTGTCACCTTTTTTTATCAATATTTCATGAATAAATTTTTGAATGAAGACAGCAAATCGTTTTATAATTCGAATAGTGATCTTGTAGAATGGATAAAATGCAGTTTTGTATTTGATATCTTTACCAAAGTATTTTTAATATGAAAAAAAGAGAAGACGTTCAGCGAAGAGACTCCTCTTTTCGACGGCGAGCGAATTCATTCACATAGCTAGCTGTACAATCGCATTTATATATAATTATTTGTGTATGTGTGTGCATGAGGTTTGTCAAGTTTAGATAATTGATCAGGTAGGTAATACAAGAATGATCTAATATAGAAACAAGGTTGGTTAATTAGACAGCAACTAAAGTAAGATTGAGTTAGTTAGTAAGTTAGATGACGACGTAATAGAATTGACTAAAATGTTTCAACTTAAGTCAGAGTAGCAACAGAGGTAATTACAGGTAGAGAGAGACTAAGTAGAGGTGGGGTAGAGAATAATGCCATTTAAATTAGAACTGAAATTGAGCAAATAAGTTGGATGACGTAACATAAATGACTAGAAATTGAGTGTTGGTCAAGTCAGTAACAGTGGTAATGAGGTGCAAAAGGTGGGGGTAGAGAACAAGAAGGTTGAAAATGCAAAATATTACAATTGAGAAGACAAAATAATACTAATGAAGAGACAGAAGAGAAAAAGATTAGGTAGAATTTACCTGTTGGGTAATAAGATAGATTACGTCCATTGCAAATGTAGTGATTGAACGAACTTCTTCTGTATGCAGAGTTCAGGACTTAGCAAGTGAATCGCCATTGCTTCTGAAGTTTGAAGAAGTCTGATTCGTACACCTTTAGGAAGGCTGCTTCGTATTCTGTAGACGACTTTGAAGTTTGTTTGGGGTGTAGCTTGGTGTCCGGATTCTATCAGATGTTCTAAGATAGAGCTCGATGGGGGGGGGCATCGTTTTTCTCCTTTGTAAAACCATGTTGGTAAGTGTTCGGTGATACGTTTGGAAAGCGAACGCTGGGTACGGCCGACATACCTGGCTCCACACGAGCAGGTGAATTGGTAAATACACATTGATGAGGCCAGCCAGCAGTGGTAGCTTATCCTTCACGTTCACATGAATCACAGGTTTTGTGGAGGAGGTTAGTCGTAGTTCAGCTACGAAGAAGGTTTTCTTAAGTGAGCGCGACAGTCGATTTTTCAGTGTTTCCGCAACGCTCAATTTCTAGTCATTTATGTTACGTCATCCAACTTATTTGATCAATTTTAGTTCTAATCTAAATGGCATTATTCTCTACCCCACTTCTACTTAGTCTCTCTCTACCTGTAATTACCTCTGTTGCTATCCTGACTTAAGTTGAAACATTTTAGTCAATTCTATTACGTCGTCATCTAACTTACTAACTAACTAACTCAATCTTACTTTAGTTGCTGTCTAATTAACCAACCTTGTTTCTATATTAGATCATTCTTGTATTACCTACCTGATCAATTATCTAAACTTGACAAACCTCATGTACACACACACGCACACACAAATAATTAGATATATAAATGCGATTGTACAGCTAGCTATGTGAATGAATTCGCTCGCCGTCGAAAAGAGGAGTCTCTTCGCTGAACGTCTTCTCTTTTTCATATGACTCAATGGGGGGGGATTTTTAAGCTACTTAAACGTTCCAAAGTATTTTACACAAGCCTTCAAACGTCACGTTAAGAATGATAATTATGCGATGAAGGATTGTCTAATAAGGATCCACAGAGAGCTTATTAATCGATGTAGTTGTAACGACGGAAATTTTTCACAATAAAATATCATCAGAACATATATTGTTTTATTATTATTTTAAGACCAAAGTGCCAAATTTATGTCTAGAAGTTCTTTTGAAAAGTAGTGTCACTGGTTATAGCGGCGGGGCGTTATATCCTGAATCAACAAAAGTTTGAATTCTAATCTTGTGTGTGACTAAATGGTTAACTAGCTCGCCTCGTAACCAGAAAATCAATTGTTCAATTTCTGGTGGGGCTATTAGAGCAGACTACTGAAGAATCTTGAAATTATTATTATTATTGTATCCTTTAATTCCTAGAGGAACAGAGGGCTTCAGCCGCCCAAGTCTCCATTACGTTCGGTTCACTGCTAGAGTCTTCACCTGGCTCCATGTCTGCCCACACGTTTTCATCTCCTCTTCACATGACCTCCTCCACGTCACCCACCCCCTCACTGACGACCAACTCGCCGCTTCCCTTTCGGGTTCCACTCGAGCAATGGCTTGTCTAGTGATGTCACTCACTTGATGGTTTGTTTCCTCAGAGTATGGCCAAAATCCAATCCATCTCCATTTCTTCCTGCTTATTTGTTGCACAATCGGTTCCTGCTGTGTTGGTTCGCTCATTGCCAGAGATCTCTGTTACTGATCTTTTCTGGCCATCTGATCTTGAGTATTGAGCGAAGACAACTGTTAATGAAGGTCTGTAGTTTGTTTGAGTTGCTCTTTATGACGCGTGACAAGTCTCTGATCTGTATAGTAGCACTGACTGACTTCACATTGGAGTTGAAAATCCGGATCTCATTTTCATTTTCATGCTGAGTAGTGCTGTTGACCTCCACACAGACTTGAGAGTAATGAAAGCTTGTCTTGCTTTCCCGATCCTCACTGCTTTGATATCCTCGTCAGTTCCGTCGGCCTGTAGTTGAAACGATGCTTCCCAGGTAGGTAGGTAGGTAGGTAGGTGAAGGAGGTTGTTTCTTTCAGGTTCCTCCCATTTATGCTGGCTGATTGTTATCTGTTGTTGTTGTTCTTGTCCAAGAATCTTCATCACCTCTGTTTTCTCTATGTTCACCTGAAGTCCTATCTTCTCTGGATGCTTCTTCTCCCAACTTGTTGCTTTTCGCTTGCATATCTTCCAGTTTGTGAGAAATCAGACATATATCATCGGCGAAGTCCAGATCCTCCAATTCTTTTTTGTGTGGGTCCATTTTATTCCTGCCTTTTCGCTGCCCGCTGTTTGTCGCATTATCCAATCTACTGCAATCAGGAAAATCATTGGCGATAGTAGGCCAGCTTGTCTTACTCCTGTCCTCACTTCGAAAGATTCCGTAAGTTTCCCGTTGTGGATTACTTGGCATGCAGCATTGTCGTACAGCTGTTGGATGAGATGTATAAGAGTATTGAAATAGAAAAAGAAATAGCTATCCAAACCTTTCTAGACTTCGACGTTTCTGTGTAGAAGTTTATTGAATTCTCTCTTTAAACTCATAAGACATGAAATGCTCATCAGTAATGAAGTGTATCTCATAAAATAATGCAGAAGCGCATTTTAATGCATTTTTCGATTTCCAGCCTGAAGGTAGACGAATAACCGGCAGTCTGTCTCAACCGCCTAGTTGAGAAATGCAACCTGACAGTCTCTTATTCAGTCTCCCTTCTTCAAAAATAGTCGATATATCTCTAAACAGTTGGAAGATCATATCAGTGAAGATTTCGCCCAACCTATAGATATAAGAAGTATTATTATTGTTTCCTTTAATTACTAGAGGAACATAGGGCTTCAGCCGTGCGTTTCCACTGCGTTCGGTTCTCTGCTAGAGTCTTCACCTGGCTCCAAGTTTGCCCACACGCTTTCATCTCCTCTTCACATGACCTCCTCCAAGTCACCCAACCTCACCCTTGGATGACCAACTCGCCGCTTCCCTTTGGGGTTCCACTCAAGGGCTTGTCTAGTGATGTCAGTTGATGGTTTCCTCAGAGTGTGACCAATCCATCTCTATTTCTTCCTGCCTATTTGTTTTACAATCGGTTTTTGGTTGGTTCGCTCCCAGAGATCCCAGTGGACGGGGATCGAACTCGGGACCATGTGCATGGTCGGCGAGCGTCCTAACCGCTGTGCCACGGATGCACGCATAGATATAAGAATAAAACTTCTGAATTGTGTGTAGAGTATCATTCCGTTATGGGTAAAACTTATTTTGGATAGAGTCTAACTGTTTCATACAGTCAGTAATATTTACTGATGACCAGGTTTTGGGAACAATTTTCATTATTGCTCATAATCATATCAAGTCACTACTCACTCACACAACTTTCTAACTTCGTTTATATAATTCCATTATTTTCCATCGCTTGATTTGATTGGTATTAGCGGTATTTTCCATATTTTCGGTATGAGTGATGATTCATTCTATTGCATGTGTTGAGTGTAGACTCGATGAACCAGTCAGGATTCAGTAATCAACCTCTCTCTCTCTCCACCTACCTAGATTACTTCTTAGAATCTTAACCCTTTCCCACCATGCTATTGTGTGGTTGTGTGTTAATGCATGCAGTGCAATGTAGTGCTGAGCATTTTTCTGAATTACTTATCTTCTCGAGTGGGGTCAACCACTCTTTCCTTAGCTTAATTCTTATGTTTCGACAATCTGATTACCCCGATCTACTAGTGTGTTTCACCTAAGTAGGTAGCTGACCTGAATCACAGTCATTGCAGGGTATTTTATTAAGAATCCTACGAAGGGAGTGTCTCAGATACCCCCTCTCTTCTTAAATGGTATAACAGTGGATGACTTATATTCCCTCTTATTTATGTTATCATTACTAGTTCCACAATTATTTTTCTTTTTCTTTTGGTCTTTTTCGATCTTCCTAATGAATTATAAAGGATAGCTGGTTATTTAACGCCAACGCCTCTTCTATCTGTTTCATTTCATCATTTTGGTCTTTTCTTGTACTACGCAGTGCTACTGCTCGGTTTGTTAGACAATTAAATTAACTAACCCTGCCTTAACAGACAATTAACGGATGAGATGAATTAAAGTCTAAATATCTATTAGCAGAATGCGTTGGTTTTTTATAAACACTAGTGTGCAGTTTACCTTCTTCTATTCGTTTTATTTTACAATCTAACATCAACAGCTAATTCTCCTTGTTCATTTTTCGATTCAAATGTGAATTTCATTCCCTCTACTAGTGAGTTTATATGTTTGTGAAGAAGCTACAGAGAGATATGTTCTGTTTTCAACACTGTGAAAGTGTCAACCACATATTTCCACCATATATTTGAAGTAGTATTAAATGTATTAGTTGCCATATTTTCCCAGCTGTCCATAATTATATATCTGCTACAATAGGGGATATTGGTGATCATCCATCCCATTGCTACACCTTCTGTTTGTCTATATATTTGATTGCCTTGGAATTTAAAGATAGTAGATGTGAGTGAGGCATAACTGAATCCCTAAAATAATTTCTTCAATGGGCAGCTTTGTCCTATGAGTGAGTGAGTTCAGGATCTGCAGTTAGTTCTTTTTTAACTGCTTCTAAGGCGGGCATATTGATTGGTAGGTATATTAGTATAAAGACTAGTTATATATCAAAACTAACCATTGTTTCATCATTCTCTAGTTGTTGAATGTCATTTAGTTTATTTTTCATCTCATATGAATTAGTTAGTTAGTTAGCTAGTCTAGAGTTTGAACGATTTCTAATGGGGCATAATATTAGAACTAAGTGTTTTGATAATTCATAAGTAGGGGTATTTCTGAAATCTACACTATCTGGTCGTATGGGGTAACCTGGCTTATGTATTTTAATAGTACCATATATATTCTACTAGCATTATGAGTTTTAGGCATTAAATTAAACCATTTAGACTCACCCAGTGACCGCTTCATTCTGCGTATATTCAATCGACTGTAGATTTACACAATTTCCAGTTTCGATTTTTTTCAAGCACTGAGCAGCAAATATTTGTGTATACACTGCATAACCGCACAATAGCATGGTGGGTGGAAGAGGGTTAAAATTCTAAAAAGTAATCTAGGTAGGTGGAGATAGAGAGGGAGAGGTTGATTACTGAATCCTGCCTGGTTCATCGAGTCTACACCCAACACAACACATGCAACAGAAATGACTTATCATTCATACCGGAAATATGGAAAATACCACTACTACCAATCAAGTCAAGCGACGGAAAATAATGATGCAATTGTATATAAACGAAGTTAGAAAGTTGTGTGTGAGTGCTGCCTTGATATGATGATTATGAGTGACAATAATAGTTTCTGCTCGAAACGTGGTCATCAGTAAATATTACTTTATAACACTACACTGTGAGTCAGTTTATCAAAACAAATTTTACTCCAATGGGGATGTTTAGCTAATTAGTTGGAAACACATTTTTAATATTTGAATAAAGCAAGAACAACAATTGTACCAGGATAATATGAGTTCATCTTTTATTATTTCGAGGATTCTTCTCAACTGGTGACAGCCTGAAGGATAAAAAATATGAATTACACTACATTAAAGATTTGAACATACTTTTCCACGATCACAAGGAGTAATTGGTAGGAAGTAAAAGTAACATTAGTTCGGAATGATTTAACTAATTAAGAGTTACAGACACACTGACTATTTATAGAATAATTAGACGATTAGGCTTGGAAACAAAAAGAACAGAGTTGCTTATAGAAACAAGGTTAAGCTAGAAAGAGCATAACAAAAAGGTAGATTACGTAACTAAAGAAAATGTTTTATCTAATAGCCAATAGAAAAAAAGGAAGAGAAAAGAACAAGATAGGGTGAGTCATGTTTAGATGAGAGAGTAGAGTTTTCTAAACAAGAAAAAGGTGACTCATACAAGTTGTATATTTTTTTGTTATCACCAGGGCAGTGCAAGATTCACCAGTGGCTCTTTCTGCGTACACATAGATTTGGTTTAAGTCGTTTGATAGCAACTGCTTCAGCAAAGCGTAGCAAGCTAGGTTTCTTTTGCTTGTTGATTATTTTGAACGACTTCAGGTTGTCTACAATATGACCAGTGTCTAATAGATGACGCGCAATCGCATTGTTTAATGCTTGTGCACCTTTCAGTCTCAGGTTCTTTGGTATGTGTTCAGAAATGCGAACAATAACCCTTTTCTCTGTTCTTCCGATGTATGTGCTTTGGCACGTACATGTAAATTGGTAGCCACAGTTGAAGGTAACATGAGGTGGGTATTTGTCCACTTTTGATTGTCTCAAACAACTACTAGTTGTTTGATAAACACATACAAGCTTGACGGCTGAATATATTGTTTTCAGGGCAGCGTTCAGTCTGCATCTTATTCTACTGGCAGTATCACCCTCCTTTGAATGCAAGCTGCAGAAAAATAGGCTTTTTCTCTACTGTGCTGTTTTTCACTTTTTCGATATGACGTCTCCCATACTTGTCGATGGACTTTTGTGGGTAACCGTTGTCGCGTAGGCATTTCTCCACAATGGATAGCTCTTCCTCAATCTTTTCTTTTGAACACAGCTTCCTTATACAATCAAATAATGTTCTCACTGGTACCTTTTTGTAATTTATAGGGCAGAAGCTTTTGAAGTTAAGATAAATCGCCCTCCATGGCTCTTTTCTGTGTATATATCTTATGATTTTGCCGTCTACATCTCGTTAGATACCCAGGTCAAGAAAATGGAACTTTTTATTATTTAAAATTTTATGCATAAATGTTTACATTTTTAATCTCGGCTAATAATTGTATTCTCACTACTCTGCTTTATTTCAAACTACTACTTGTTTCTAGATCAGATCGTTTTGGTTGTCGAAGACATAACACCTCAAGATGTGAGTAATGATGAAGGCATCATCAACTGTGAAGTCGACGCAATTCCCTGTCATATTCTACGGAGTCCTAAAAGACTTTCACCGCTTTTTATAAAATTGCATTATAATACAGATTTGAGCAATTCACAGTAATTCTATGGACATGGCTTGTTGTTTTCTTCCATTATAATAAAGGTTCTTTTTTGTATTTCTCAATGAATGAAAAACGAAACGACTTTGTCATTTTTACTGACGTTTTGTTATTGAATGCTGCAGCTAATAGCTTTATCAAAGCAGTATTATTAAAACAGAAGAATTTACAAAATCCACTCAGCATATATATATATAACAAAGAGATAAGAGGTGGGTGAGAAAAAAGACTACTTAAGTCAAGTTAAAAGGAGGACATATTGAAAGTCAAAATAACAGAGGTAATAGTACATCTGCCCTGGTTGGTATCAAAACAAAGTTTACTAACTTGATCATCGTTCGTCAGTATGGGGTCATTTTTCGTTGTCAAATTGGCCAATTGGTAAAGATAACAAAACCAAGTGTAGATTGTTGGATTTGATCAGTGTGTAAAATTATAAAAGCAGTGTGTGTTTACATAGTGAACTTGCTTATCACATTCGTGTTGGTTTTGCCACTTCTTGAGGGACGAGACAGGGGTGTTGTAACCAGGTCAGATTCTGTTTTAGTCCATCATTCCTATTCAGTTCAGACAATTTGGATTCCATTAGATGATATGAAGTGCTTCTGATGATATGAGACGTTCTTTGTGATTTCTGAAATGCTTTTTCTGGATGACGATTTCAATATTGTCAAAATCAATTTTGTGGCCTGATTCTATAGCCTGGCTGATGATTTTTCAAGCTTTTCTAGTTCAACTGGATTTATTTCTCAGTGGTCGAACAGATGCTCTACGGTGTTCATTTCTTCTGATTTTGATTTTTCTCTGGCGATGTTTGTCCGATGTATATCGCATCACATTCCAAGCAAGCATTTTATTTTATTTTAGACACAATTAGATAGAGAATCTTTAGGGATTTGGTCTTTTATATGGACAAGGTTGTTTCGCAGTGTGCGTGTCTGATGTTTTGAAGAAAACTCTAATGTCGAGCTGATTGAGTACTCTTCTGATATCATCTGACGTCTCTGCTCTATATGGAATGACGACTGTTGAGGTCCATGTTTTCGGAATGCGTTTTCGACCATACTTAATGTCAGTGTTGATTTTGTTGATGAAGTTCCTTGGGTAGTTGTTTTGCTTGAGGAGAGTTTCAGTAATGTTTGATATTTCTTCTTCCACTTTTTCTTTCTCATCCGTTAACATCAGAGAGTGTGCTCGTCTAAGAAGACTTGAAACAACTGAAATCTTTGCGCTGATGGGGTGTGATGATTTGAAGTCTAAATATTTATTGGAGTGGGTTTTCTTCCTGAATATGGATATACTAAAATGTCCGTTTTCCCTCCTCTTAACTCCGCAGTCTAGAAATGGTAGTTCACTGACATCTGATTCTGTCTGCTTCCGAAGTAAACTGGATTCTGGGAAATAGATTGTTCAGTTTCTCCAGGAATGAATTGTTTTCTTCCAGTGTAATAAATGAATAAATTTGTTACATAATAATGCGTGTGTGTATTTTCCCTGATTGTGGGTTGTTTTTCCCAGCCACAGTTCTGCTGTTATCTTATTCACTACCAGAAACGCTTCTTTTTTGATATAAGTATAAAACTTGGGCACTGTGTTGTGGGTGGTAGAGTATAACTACTCCATTATGGATAAGATTTTCTGTTTTGATAAACTGTCACACACAGTGGGTGTGTAGTGTTATACAGTAAGTAATATTAACTGATGCGACCACACGCTTCGAGCACAATTCATTATTCCCACTCATAATCATCATATCAAGTCATTCACTCACTCACTCACTCACACAACTTTCGTCTTCCTTCATTTATATACATGAGTGGAATTCATGATGATTAGACATTTGAATACAAATCAGTAATATGGGATAATGTACATTCAGAAATAATAATGATAATAATATGAGTGTTATTGATCAATTACAATCAGATGGGAAATAAGACGAGTGTTTCTCCTATAGTCATAATAAGTGAGTAACTTGTTAGAATGTTGTGATGATGTACGTGAATTGAATTGAAATAGAATACAATTTAAGATTATTTATTATCCTCCTCTGATTTCACTGACTGACTGACTGGTGGTAATCATATCTTCCATACATATCTGTGGTATTTGCATTGAGTCATTTCTGTTGCATGTGTTGTGTTGGGGAGGTGGACTTGATGAACCAGTCAGGATTCAGTAATCAACCTCTCTCTCTCTACACCTACATAGATTACTAATTAGAATCTTAAGCCTCTCCCACTCACCCTGCTATTGTGTGGTTGTGTGTTAATGCATGCATGCGGTGCAATATAGTGCTGAGTTGGTTTTTCTGAATTGCTTATCTTCTCGAGTGGGGTCAACCATTCTTACGTTAGCTGAATTCTTATGTTCCGATAATCTGAATACTCTCGACCTAGTAGTTTGACCTATGTAGGTAGTTGACCTAACTCACAGTCATTACAGGGTTTTTTGTAAATTATATTATTTTGTCTAATTGGGTCAACCTATAGGGTCTTTTAGCCTACAGAGCTTGTCCTACCTGATTGAGTTTGTAGGTTTGAATACCACCAGTCTTGACATCGCCTAGTTTTAATGCCATGCTCTAGGACAAAGCCCGTCTTCCAGATTTCGATTGTAGTTCAAACATCTGGAACGGAGGTCATCTATCTATACTTCAGACTTTTTAGAAGAAAAATATGACCATATACCCCTTTTTTTGTTCAATACGATTCCTAGAGGTTGGCAGCGTACAGCATGATTCCTGTTTCAGGGTGTTAAAAATGCTGAATTTGTCATTGGACACTGACTAGTGCCATGGGTCAGTCTAGTAGTAGTCCTCTGCTGTCTGCAGACTGAATTCTACTGCTACTACTACCCCAGTCAAATTTGCAATGTGGCAACATCATCATACTAAGGGGACTGACTGACTGGCTGACTCTCCATTCTATGGTCCACTCAGAATTGTTGTTGTCATTTTAGATGGTAGGAAGCCTTTGACCTAAACTTCGCTGGTGCTTGTTGGCGCTTACCAGTCAGTCAGCAAGTCAGTGAGGCGTATCTGCAACCACGCTGAAAGAACAGCTCATTTCCCCTCTGAGTTCCTTTCTTTCTATCTTTACAAAACCAATTCTAAGTAACTTACTGTTACTTACCTCTAGGAATATATATAAGTACTGCTGTACATTTGTGCGTTGAAGGTTTTGTAGCAATATGGTTAAGTTTTGGGGGTGGAATTGCTAGCACAACGCCCCAACCCTTCCTCTTTATCCGGGCTTGGGACCGGCTAGAAAACTAGTGACCTAGTATTCTAGGCGAGGTTCGAGAAGACAAGTATATCCTGGACCGGCGTGAAGAATCTAGAAGACCTGGATTTCGCACGTGGATGATTTATGTTTGATGTCACACAAAATCGAAGACTTACTCACAAGCGGAAACCGACAAACTAGTCGAAGAAGCAGCAAAGACAGGACTCCATCCAGGTGAACATAGACAAGACGGAGGTTAGGAAAATAACCAACCAACAAAAACAACAACAGCAGCAACATCCAGCGCCAATCTCCATCAACGGGAGGGATTTGAAAGAGGTTACTTCATTCACTTATTTAGATAGGGAGCATTGTCTCAACTACAGGAGGAACGAACGAAGATGTCTAATAGAGAATCGGGAAGGCGAGAAACACATTCATCAACCTTAGAAACCAATCTGGAAATCTTCGTCACTCAGCAACACTTAACAACAAAATTCGGATTTTCAATACAATCGTCAAGTCAGTCAGTTCTTCTATACGGATCAGAAACTTGGTGGCGGGTCACAAAGAATATTTCCAACAGCCTGTTGCAGACCTTTATCAACAACAACTGTCTTCGACTCTATACTGAAGATGAGATGGCCGGAAAGAACAAGAACCAACAAGAAACTATGGGAACAAACGAACGAAACAAGAATCAATCGCCCAACAAATATGTAGGAGAAAGTGGAGATGGATTGGACACTCGCTGAGGAGGCCGCTGGGTGACATTGCGCATCAGGTCATCGTTCTAGTGGAACCCGAGAGGGAAGCGGCGAGTGGGACGTTGAAGGGTGACATGGGGGAGATCGTGTGAAGAGGAGTTGAAATAGTATGGATTAACATGGATGCAGGTGAAAAGTACAGCAGAAGACAGAAGCAAGTGGAGACGTGCAGTTGAAGCCCTATGTTTCACTAGGAACCCAAGGGAACAATAATAATATTAATAATACTGCTGTATACAGTTTTTGAAGACTAATTGGTTGGAAGAATTCTCCTGCCCTTGATATTTTCTACATAACGGTCTTCATCAGATATATGAGATGGATAAGTAAACAAACTACATTGAATTAGTCATGCAGAAAGACAGGTGCGAATGTTTTCCAGGTCATGTTCAAATAAATAAATAAGGGGAGAGAGAATATGAGAGATCAAAATTAATTACTTATCAGTCTTATATCTCCCAGTGTAATTTCAACAGTATATATCTATATATATCCGTGTATGTAGAGTACTGAGCAGCTGACGAGTTCTACCGAGATTTGATGAATCCATCATTAAATCCTGCTTTATTAATCAACCTTTATTGCTTGTTTTAAATTCGTATCGGGAAGCAAATGTTTTCAGTTAGAGAATCATTGGAAAACCAGCCACAAGGAGTACTGGACATCTGTTTCATCCGTCTCAGTTTGGGACTCTTCAGCTGTATGCACTCACTGCCAAGGTTTGAACCCAGGACCACGTTCTGGTTACAAAGCCAGCTAGAGAGCTCGTAGACCATTGAGCCGTTGGGACCTGATCCAAAGGCCGGTGCATGAATTCTAACTTCTACCAGCTTACGATGAAATCTTCCATCCAATCAAAATAAATCCCTACAAAAAACCAATACTTGAAAATTAATCTGATGCTCACTAGCGACTCACCCTATTCAGATAGGCAGTGGCCTGAGGTTCTAGTGGGAAGCCGTGACCAGTAGGGTACAGGGAGTAACTCATCGAAGAAGACATTGCGAA